AGCAAGACTACGCCATCCGTTCGCAAAACTACCAGGAGGCCTTGTTCTGAGAAGAACGGGCAAGAAACTCGGCAAGTTTGCCCTCCCTTTACATTACAATTATTCAAAGGAAAATGTCATAAACCACAACGTCATTAAAATTACATAAGTAAAAAAAAATAAAAAATCTGTTCTGTGATTTACCACATTCACCATTACACACATATTCATAACACTTCAAAGATAACAAATCAAATTATAAGAATATAATTAGAACTATTGCCAAGCGTTTTTATCTTCCAGGTAGTCATTGACTGTGTAGGAACCTTTACACATTAAGGTTTATTTGATGTGTGTTTTGAATCTGTTTAAAGGCAGTTCCAATATTTCACTAGGAATCATGTTATAGCAGCGTATACTTAGGCCCATAAATGAAGTATTTATTTTCTGCAACCTGTAAGACGGCTGGAAAAGTTTTCCCTTATTTCTTGTATTCCTATTGTGAATGTCGCTGTTCTTTAAAAGAGAACTAATATTACTACGCACAAAAACGATACAGTTGTAAATATATTGGGAAGGTACCGTCAAAATATTGATTTCCTTGAACAAATTTCTAGGTGAAGTGCCTGGTTTCAAGCAATAAATTGACCTAATAGCACGTTTTTGCAAGATAAAAATAGATTGTATATCTGCTGCTTTGCCCCATAAAAGAATTCCATACGACATAACGCTGTGAAAGTAACTAAAATATACTATTCTGGCAGTTTCCTCGTCTGTGAGTTGCCTAATTTTCCTAATAGCGTATGCCGCAGAACTAAGCTTGTCAGAAAGTTTAGTGATATGCTGGCCATTGAAGTTTTTGGTCTATTGTAATGCCCAGAAATACCGTAGAATCAACTAAATTTAGTTTTTCATTGTTCAGTTTAAGCTCTATAGTTGTAGTTTTAACATTAGGTAAAGTAAATCTTATGCATTTTGTTTTTGTGGCATTTAACTGTAAATTATTTGCAGAAAACCACCACACTATTTTAGAAAGTGCATTGTTCACATCGTCAAAATTTGTCTTATATCTATTTACTTTAAAAATCAAGGACGTGTCATCAGCAAACAATACAATATCACATAATGGCTTTGAATAAGAAGGCAAATCGTTAATATATATAAGAAATAAAAATGGTCCTAATATTGATCCTTGAGGGACTCCCATTTTAATATGTGATCCCGAAGATTTAGTTCCATTTATATCAACTTTATGAGTTCGAAAACTTAGGTAAGAGGTTATTAAGTTAAGAGCTACATTTTTTATACCATAGTGGTCAAGTTTGCAAAGCAGAGTCTCATGATCAACACAATCAAACGCCTTGGACAAATCGCAGAAAACTCCCAGTACATTTTGAGTTTTCTCCCATGCATCAAATATATGTCGTAACAGAGCTATTCCAGCATCGGTAGTGGAGCGACCTTTAGTAAAACCGTATTGTGCGTTGTGTAGAAGACTGTTTGTATTAAAGAATGTAATTAATTGTTCTACTATAATTTTTTCAAAAACTTTACTTAAAGTTGGCAATATTGAGATGGGTCTAAAATTAGTAGGTTCTGTCCTGCATCCAGATTTAAATAAAGGTATTATTTTACTATGCTTCATTAAATCTGGGAAACTTCCTTCATCAATACAATTGTTAAAAATATACGCAAGATCTGGGGCAATAATATCTATAATGTCCTTAATAATACGTACAGAAACATCCCACAAGTCTCCAGAATGTTTTAATTTTAAAGATTTAAAAGTTTTAACTACATCACCAGCGCTAACGTGCTTAAACTGAAAATTTATTTTGCATTCCGGTACGTGACTTTTAAGAAAACTAATAGCCTCTTTGGAAGAGGAATTAAGAGAAGATGTAGTAATTACAGGTATGTTTGTAAAGAAATCTTCAAAAATATCAGCAATCTCTGAGCTTTCAACAATAATCTTATCATCTACCTTTAAAAAGAATTAATTATTACGGGATTTAAGGTTTCCTGTTTCTCGATTTATAACATTCCAAGTAGTTTTGATTTTATTACTTGAATTCTTAATTTTCTCACGTATATGCAATGCCTTTGTATATTTGCAAACTTTTCTAAAAGTTTTGGAATAAATTCTGACATATTCCATAAACACTGCGTTGTGATTATATTTTCTTAATGCATATAATTCATAAAGCCTATTCCTACTTTTGAAAATACCACTCAGTCAGTGGCCCAGTCATCAAACTTGTTTTTTTTTTGTTGCACTTTACAGTCTTTAATGGGTAAATACTATCAAACTCATTTTGAATAACATTAAACAATCTTTTGTATTGACTCTCCGAATTATTTAGAACAGAGTAATCTATTGCACAAACCTTAGAATTATTATTTTGCCTAAAACTTTCGATGCGACTTTTTGTGATGGGGCGATACTTAACGTGCTTGGCTTCATCAAATATTTTGTCAGAGAAGCCAACTATCAGACCACAATGGTCAGAAGTAAGGTTTGTTATTACTGATTTAGAAATAGGTTTGTCACTCGAAAATATGTTATCTAAACAAGTTGCTGAATGGGAGGTGATTCTTGTTGGTTCAGAGAATTGGTTTACTAAATTGAAACATTTAAACATTGAAATAAATCTAGTGCTTACTGAATTCCTTTCAAGTATGTTTATGATAAAATCTCCGCAAATAATGACCGACTTTCGTTTTCTAGTCAGTCTTTTAAGTACATCTTCCATTACTGACTCGAATTTGTAATAATCTCCGGAAGGGGGCCGGTACACGCATACTATAACATAGTTCTCCAGTTCTACACAAGATAATTCAATAACACATTCAATTGATAGACTTACAATATCCTTACGATCTTTCGATTTGACAGTACTATTTATTAATATTAATGATCCGCCACGAATAGAACTACTTCTCATGAATACGCTACACAATTGGAAGTTGTCAATAACAATCGTTTCATAACTTCTTAGCCAATGTTCTGTAATACAAATAACTTCAATTTCGCGACTTTTTGTAAACAGTTCTAATTCTAATTCCTTGCCAAACCTTGTAGATTTTGATAAACAATATTTAATAGTGCTGGCTTGGCTTTTGTCTTAGGTGCTAGTTTAAATTTGTAAAATGTAAATTTTTCGTGACAATTTTACTACATGTCACCGTAGTAGTTTCTTTAAAATTATATGCTAATAACTTAGCAATTTCTTTTTTTATTTTATATGAAAGATACAATGTATCTTTGGTCAGAGTAAATTTAGTAACAAACCTGTTACAATCAAAATATAAAAATACGTCACTATGACGACATGTCAAATGGTGAATAAATTGATTTAAAACATAAATCTGTTGATTAAATTTATAATCCATATTGCTTGCATAATGGAAAAGAACAAAGTGTTATTTTTTATTTTATTTTTTAATTTGTTTATACAGTCTTCTAATTCACAAATATCACTAATTAACTATCCATCTTAATAATAATAATTTATATGCATTTAATTTGGGTAACTGCCCAAATAAAACATTCTGTCCTTTTTTAACACTTGAATATCCACTAAAGATCTTAAGTTTAGTATTTTAGTGTTTTCATCCTTTCTTGCACGAACCGTTTTTGAACCAAACGTATTTATATTTTTGTTTGTTTTTAAATTCCTGTTTGGCTTCCCATAAAATGCTTTTGTTGGATTTAGTCATTGCTTCCCTAATGAATACTATTTTGTTTTTTTGGGTTCGTAGGGACAGACGTCGGCCACGATAGTTTTAATGGTTTTTGCAGCCTTAATCCACTTTTCTTAGGTTGCTTTATCATAAATTATATTATATAACGCCCTGTTGGTCGTATTTACCTTGGTATCGCATTGTGTTACGGATACCGTCGAAGGGCTGTTTAAGTTTTAATGCTACATTTTCAACCAATTTTCTCACATTCTCTCCGCTCGCAGGGGGGACGTTTGCTATTTCTATAGAATTAGCAAGTTTCTCCTGTTCCATCTCATGAAAACGCTGCTCCAATGCGGCTACCCTTAATTCCAGATTATTGTTTTTGTGTGTTAGTTCCGTGTCTTTTCTTTCTAAAACTTTTATGATGTTTTTAAAGGCATCACTACAACCTAACACTTCGTCCAACTTCGTACTGTGAAATTGCATAGATTGGTTAAATTCACTTACTTTCGTCTTTATAGTTTTTTCTACCTCCTCGGAAATATTTTCTGTATTAGCCCTTTAGTGTCCATAGGTATATCCTCCTCTGCATCCTCTGTTAGAAACAAAGAGGAGTTTCGCTTTGGGGATTCATGCTGGCATTCCATACGGGTCCAATCTAGGCTTGGGGCTGCTTTTAATGCAGTTATCTGTATGTTGGTAAGACCGCTGCATCTGGTATTTAGGTGTACCATTTTTTCACAACGGGTACATTCGTTCCTTCATTCGGGCAACGATTTATTAGATTGGTCACACTTCGACATGATTAAATAGTCTTAATAAGATCGTGTTACATTATGCGCATGTCACTCGCACGGCTGCTTGATTACGACTAAATGAATGACCTGTACCTACCAATAGTTAGGAATTGATTTATAATAACTAATAATAAGTGTTAGTGGGCAGCGATAAAACTCTCCACTTACTACGATAATATAGATTCTGGGCCATTGAAAAAAATAGTGATTGTTTCCTTAACACAACAATTGTAAATAATAATAGTTTTAGGGTAGTCTGATTCTTCAATTATTTTAAACAAAAGAAAGAAATATGTTTACAGAACACCACTATTTATTATTATAAATTTGATACAATGAAAATATATGATAGAATGATTTAAACGTCCTCTCGCGTCAATGACTCGCAGCGCATTGTTGCGGGGAACCCGATGTGGCTCTGATGCATGTCGTCTGGGGAGCTTGACTTTGCACTCGACGACCGCGATGCGACGATTTAATTTGCAACCATAATAATTTAATGAAATACATGCTACATCTCTCCCCCCAGAGACCGTCTTAAGACGGACGATAATAATCTGGGTACTTGACAGTTGGCCCTGAGCGTGTTCTGGTAGTTGTTGGTTGAATGCTTTTTTCCAGGTTTTTAGATGAAGCTATCTCCGTCTTCGTAGACGGTTCTTCAGAGGTAGGTAAAAACGCAGGTTTTACTCGCTCTATAGTCACTGTCTGTTCCTTTCCCTTCATTAGCAATTTAAAAACCTTGTCCCCTCTTTGCAGGACTTTATATGGTCCTGCAAAGAGGGGACAAGGTCAACAAACCAGCATACGGTTGAAGAGGTCTCACGCTGTCATCTCTGACTTATACATGGGTTGCCGAAGGTAGGTCTTTGAAGACAAAAATTTTCTTTTCACAGTGCCTGGAAGCTGGCTGAGGACGAATAGTATTAATTAACGAACGAAGACGTGCTGAGAAGTCTGTAACATCTGTCGTATGCATATCTTGAACTTCCTGAAGAAAATCTCCAGGTAATCTGAGCGTCTCCGTATAAGAGCTCGGCAGGCGAAGCTTGAATGTCTGGCTTGAAAGCTGCTCTCATACCAAGTAAGACTAAAGGTAAAGTTTCAGTCCAGCTCTGGTTCTCATGACATTAAATCGCTGACTTTAGCTGTCTATGCATCCTCTCAACCATGCCATTACTTGCAGGATGATATGCAGTCGTCCTGTTTCGACGAAATCCAGCAAGCTCGGCGAGCTGTTTCATAAGAGCTGATTCAAACTGTCTCCCACGATCTGTAACTACCTCAATTGGACATCCATATCGAGCAATCCAGTTTGCAACAATCCAACAAAAGCCTTGGCGACCGTTTCAGCGGATATATCAACAATGGGTATCGCCTCGGGCCATCTTGTAAACCGATCGACTGCAGTGAGACAATATCGGTAACCATTTGATGGGGGTAGTGGGCCAACCAAATCTATGTGTATGTGCTGAAATCTAGCCCGTGCACAGTGGTCCATCCCATAGGTCATAGGGCTGAAATGTCGATGGTTGAATTATGACGTCATTTATCACTACAGGGTAGACAAATAACCCTTCTACCCCCAGATATAAAAACAATTACAATAACATGAAAGGATCATTTCATTTTGTGCAACCGAAGTGATAACATTCCAATAGTGCTAATTAGCGTTGTCTTTGTCGGCAAAATTTCTATTGTTTTAAAGTGTTGTTTTCTCGGAAATTGATTGTTTGTGATAATTTTTTGCCATGGATATTCAAATAGAAGGTATGTACGACATTTTTAATCCTATTGTGTTTACTTTAACCGTGTCGTTATCTGTAATCAGCACCATCAAGAAAGACTTCCGATTTCTTTGAGTTTTACCGCTCTGCCATATTTAATTAGACTTTTACTTAGGAAGGAACGAATCCCCAAAGATGAAACATATATCAAAATAATCTCTTGTTTGTCTAGTTTTAGAATCTGTAACATCTAGGTGCGCCAAAGTGCGCCGAGGATTGCTTATAGGTCATGACAAAGACAAAGTCGTATATAGGTAAATTTGATACCTTATAATTTTCATTTCTTTTATTCTGTAGGATCCATCATCAAGTATTCTTTTCCTCGAATGCTTGTTCTAGACACGTGGTTGAATGCGACAAGTAAAGAAAATGAGGCAGATAGATCTCGTGAAGTGTTTGAAATGCTAGCAAATTCTTTACCGGACACTGAAAATATCAAGACCGATTACTTAAGAGATTTAATTTGTAATCTCTGTAAACGGTTTGCTGCATATTGGAAGAAACTGGGGAGGTCAAAAGCTAAGCTGATTGCCAAATACGGTGACTGGTTAAATGAGATCGAAGTCTGCATTCTTGGGAGCTCTGACGGAGAACTACATGAAAACGACGACGAGACAAGCGAATATAAGAAAGTTACCTTGTAAGAAGAAGTCTGTATTAGCAAAAGAAGTGTTGGATTTATTATGTACTTAAACTATATTGGCATAAAAGAAACCTGTAAATATTGTGAATTATAATGTTTTCCTATTATGTAAAAAGACGATGTTTTATATAAATCCTATGTTCAGTTTTCTATTATCTGGTAAATTTTATTATTTATATGTAAATTAAGCTATTTTCAGAAATCTATATATATAAAAATGAAACCCGTTCTTCGTTGTCACGACATAACATGAAAATAATGTATAAATAAAACTTATTTTATTGCTACCTATTATTTATTAGTACGGATGGATCCTTTTTTTTGAGAATATACATCTACCTTTTTAAAAATATATCTATTGTTTTACTTGTTATTATCATTAAAACCTTAAAACAATCATTTCTAAGATAAAAAAGTTAATATTTCATTTTTAATCCGACATACAACCTCTATGACCGCCTTTCTTAGGAACATGGACCACTGTGCCGTGGTAATTTGAAGTTGCCCAATAATGGTGTCACGTGTCACGTAATCTAAGCGGTCTAACAGGAATGACAACATTTTGTCCATTCTCGACAATCTTTGTTTATTCCAGGCCAAACATAGCGATCTCTAATTAATTTTGCCGTAGCGTTTGCACCTGGATGGCTGAGTGAATGTAAACTACTAAAAATTTGTTTTCTCAACTCCGCTGGTACATACGGGCGAGGTGTCTGCGTAGATTGATCACAGTATAACTCCGTCCGTGTTCCAGGTATGGTCACTTTTACCAGTTCCAGTGAGGTGTTACCTTCCAAAATCCGTTTGTTCTGCATCAGAAGACTGTGTCATAGCTAAATTTTCCATATGAAAAGGCTGCACAAGTTCCTCAATTCTAGAGAGGGCATCTGCTACAACATTATCTTTACCAGATATATGTTGTATGTCTGTGGTAAATTGGGATATAAAATCTAGATGAAAGTAATTGGTTTGTGGTCCGTAAAAACCGTAAAATGACCTGCTTCAACAAGATGGCGAAAGTGCTTAATAGCCTCATAAATGGCAAGAAGCTCTCGGTCATAAGGAGAGTATTTCGATTGAGTTAAACTTAGCTTTCGACTAAAGAAAGCTAATGGTTGCCAACCTTCGTCAACATATTGTTGTAAGACTCCTCCGATGGTAGTATCTGAGGCGTCAGTAACTAATGCCAGTCTTGAATCCATATTAGGGTGTCCCAAGAGTGTGGCGTCACACAGACTCTTTTTACAATCTTCAAAGGCTTTCAGTGTGTCACCAGTCAGTACCACAGAGTGAGAGCCCTTGACTGTCCCTTTGAGTAAGTCATGAAGAAGAGCCTGTGATTTAGCAGCGTCTTTGAGGAACCGGCGATAAAAATTGATCATTCCCAAAAATCTTCTAAGTTCCCTGACATTCCTTGGGATGGGAAACTGCTTAATCGCCTCAACTTTGTTCTCGCTAGGTTTAATTCCTGCTGATGATACAACGCATCCCAAAAACGTGACCTCTGCTGCTCCAAAAATACACTTCGAAAGGTTGAAAACCATTCCAAATTCCTTAAACCTCGTAAACAGTTGCTGCAGGTGTTGAAAGTGGCTGTCCAGGTCCCTGGAGAATATGAGGAAGTCATGTAAGTAGCAAAAATCCAGGTCTCTGGTCATCTCGTCGACGAATCTTTGAAATGTCTGACCCGCATTTCGTAGTCCAAAGGTCATGTAAGGAATATCAAACATTCCAAAGGGTGTTGTGATGGCTGTTTTCGGAATATCCTCGGGGTTCACTGGAATTTGATTATACGCCATGATTAAATCTATTTTTGAGAAGATTTGGCAGCCAGCTATGTTCTGGGTGAAGTCCTGGATGTGCCGGATAGGGTATCGGTCGGGAATCGTGCGTGCGTTTAACATCCTGTAATCGCCGCATGGCCGCCATCCGTTGTCCTTTTTTGCGGCGAGGTGAAGGGGCGACGACTATGGGCTCTCTGACGGTCGTGCTGTCCCTATTCTCAGCATTTCTTCGAACTCCTGTTTTGCAATCTTTTGTTTGTCTGGGGCAAGTCTTCTTGGAGTGCAATATACGGGCGGTCCGGCGGTTGTTCTTATGTGATGAACCGTATTGTGACGTATGACCCGATGTGTACTTGCTGGTCAAGTGATTTCTGGAAAATCTCGAAGAAGGTTCAAGTACTTGGACTCGCCTGTTATCGTTTTGACTGAAGTTATGGCATCAGATGCAGGAACTGGATTTGCGTTTGCTGACTTGTCTTGTTGTCGATCAGGCGTTTGCTACGACAGTCTACGATTAAGTCGTAGTACGATAAAAAATCGACTCCGATAATAGCCTTTGTAACGTCAGCTATTATGAACTGCCAGGAAAATGCACGCCGAAGACCTAAGTCGAGTTCCATTTGTTGGACACCGTATATTGGTGTTCCGTTCGCAGCGTAAACGTTGAGTTCGGTTGTGCGTGGTCGCCTTTGTTTCAGGGCGGAGCGGGGGAAAACGCAGATTTCACTCCCAGTGTCAACTAAAAACTGCGTTTTTGTCCTTCTGTCCGTTATGAATAAGCGACCATTAGTAGGGCTACGGCAATCATGTGTCGCTACTGATGACTGCCTTTGGCATTTCCCGACCCTGATTTATAATCACAAGGTTTCAGGCATCTTCGTGCCTTGTCTCCATATCTGTGGTGGAAAATACAGGTAGGGAAATTCCTATAACTTGACTGGGAACGCGTACGACTTCTATTGCGCTGGCTATCTCTTGACCGAGATCTACCTGCATTGGTCATGGAGAGTGACTTATCCTGACGGCTCAGTTCAGCAACTTCTCTTGTAAGCTTTTCTAGTAAAATGCCAGGCACAGCATCGGCGGATGCAACTTGAGGTACAGGCGGTACCAAATCATGCACCTTATCTGCTAAGTCGGCTAGTGCTTGTAACGAAGACTAAGGCAGTGATGCGATAACTGTCTGCAAAATGGTTGGCAAACGGCTAGTCCAAATAGTACGAATAAAATCATCTGATATATTTTTACCAGCTAAGTGAAGTAAATGTCGCAGAAATTGCGCAGGACGTCTATCTCCAAGTTCGTCGTGCATTAGAAGCTTTCTTCTTCTCAACTTCTTTTTCTCTCGACGCTGAAAGACGTTTAATAAGCTCCGTCTTAAGAGTGTCATATTTTCCAACTGCCGGTGGATTGACAAGAATGTCTTTAACCTCAGCCGCATATCGATGCTCGAGTTGAGCACTGACATAATAATGTTTTGTCTCTTCATCCTTAATTTTAGAAAGAGCAAAGCTGCCTTCAATTTGAGCAAACCAAACAGCGGGCTCTTCAGGCCAAAATGGGGGCAATCGGACTCCGACAGGACAAATGTCGTATGATGTAAAAGTCTTTTCGCCATCTTTGGCATCTGACGTTGATGGCTGGCCTTGTGACATTGTAATAAATAGTAATAATTTTTCGTACCTTAGTTGGCGTATTCTTCAGCAGGGGTCACCAATTTAAGGTAGTCTGATTCTTCAATTATTTTAAAAGTTATTATTGGAATTTGTATCCCGGATTTAAGCGCACCGGTATTGTTCAACTACTTCTTATTGACATAGTTACGCTCGATAAAGTTGTCAAGAGCGTTAAGGCTACCACTGACTATACGTCCATTTAGTAGACTTGTAGCCATCATTGCCGGCAAATTTCTTAATTTTTCTGCAATATGTTCACCAAATGAGTCATATTGCTGTTTCACTTGTGGAGGTTCTTCCAATTTCTTTGCTATCTTTGTTAGAACATTGTCAACTTGGGCTTTGGTTTTTCTTGTTTGAGTCCGTGACGATGAAACCACACTACTTTGTGAAAGTGGAGATGGCACATTCATTGATACATTGGTTTCAGTTTCATCATCGCTCATCTAAAAAAAAAATGTTTCTGTTACAGATGCCAGATACTAAAGAAGAATGGAGGAAAATCGCAATGGACTTTGAAGAAAGATGGCAGTTTCCTAATTGTTTAGGGGCTATAGATGGAAAGCATATAAGGATAATACCACCTCCAGGTAGTGGTTCCTATTTTTGGAATTACAAGAATTTCAATAGCATTGTGCTAATGGCTTGTGCAAATGTCAACTATGAATTTATATGGTGTGAAGTTGGTACAAATGGTCGAGTTTCAGATGGAGGAGCCATACAGAATACAATTTTTTATGAAAAATTACTGAGAAAGGAACTTAACATCCCCAATGATGACAGGTGTCAAAACAGCCACACTAAACTACTATATGCGTATATAGTCGCAGATGGGTTGTCGAATGACCTGGTAATCAGGTAGTACTTCGCGGGCATCTGACCTTCGATTAAGGACATTCTGGCCGGATTGCCGTGCCGATTCTAGAATTTCTAGATTAAGATGAGACGCCATGGCATGAGTGAACATGCTCAAAGGTAACCGTTCGTGCAGACGGGGATCTACTCCCCGGAGCTTCTCATAAGTCTGATTAACTATTGGAATAAACCCCGAATATTCAAAGTTTTGGCAATAAACGTCTTGTGTAGCCAAAAGTGAGGAATGCGGACCCATATCATAGAGGGGTTCATCTCGCATTGGGGTAGACGTAGTACTAGGAACTACTGTTTGTTCTTCAGCTGGAGCTCTTTGCGGTTTTGCGTTCATCCTAAAATTTTGCGACCTTTTTGTAGGTGCTTTGTTTCTAACCCTTTCATTATCGAACGGTTCGGGCTCAAAAGCCCAGTTCTCAAAACGCTGTTGGTCTGAGTTATAATTATACGCACGTTGGGCTTCGCGCATCGCTCGGCGGTTACAGCCGGAATAATGGCCTCTGCCACGTGGTTGACCACGATTTGTATTGTCACGTCGGGGTCACCAATTTAGGGTAGTCTGATTCTTCAATTATTTTAAACAAAAGAAATAAATATGTTTACAGAACACCACTATTTATTATTAAAAATTTGATACAATGAAAATATATGACAGAATGATTTAAACGTCCTCTCGCGTCAATGACTCGCAGCGCACTGGTGCGGGGAACCCGATGTGGCTCTGATGCATGTCGTCTGGGGAGCTTGACTTTGCACTCGACAACCGCGATGCTACGATTTAATTTGCAACCATAATAATTTAATGAAATACATGCTACATAGTAATAGTAAAGATATACATAATTCTTTCCAAAATCTACAAATATTTTTGTTTGTAATAAATGCCTCATTCACATTAAAACTGCTGAACTTTATTAAGATTAAATTTTAAGGATCCCAGTTTGAGTTACTCTTTCCTGTTCTTGAGGTAAAGTAACTGAATGAACCACTATTTCTTACTCCACTCCTCATATTTTTTACATTATTCATAAAATGCTTCATCCCTCATTATCAAATTCATTTTCCGGTGCATAATATAACACATGAATTAATTTAAAGCTTAGATTTTAATACAACTTCTCCTTTGGTGGTTTCTGTTACTTCTAGTTGTCTTATTAGCTTTTCATTTTCTGAAAAGAATTTTTTTTTTTTTTTAGTACTGAGATCAAATAGAAAACTGACAATCTTGTGTAAGATCGCTCGAAGGTAACTTTAATATTAATACTCTTCACTTTATTCTAAACTTAAAAATATATTTACAAATTAAGTACTTTGCTGCTTATTGATTTAATTAAAGTTTTTAATAACCAAACGACGTCAGTTATTCCTAAGGGAATTGAATTCAAACTTCTCATTCATTAACAATATTATAATAAACTTTTCTATATTAACGGCTTGTACACAAAACTGCGATGCGACTACGTCGCATCGCAAAAATCTGCTAGCTCCCTCTACGCATCGCAAGAACTTGCGAATTGATTCACATCGCGCATTCCTGCGATGTTGCGTCACACTTGTTGACTCCATTTTAGTTCGCTCAGGGACAGCGTGTGGGCAAGACGTGTACTTTAAAAATGACAGAATACGACGTTGATTTTTTAATATCACTGATTGAGTAGCGCCCTGTTCTTTGGGACATGAAGATTATAAAAACAAATTCATCAAACAAGATGCTTGGAAGGACGTGTGTAAAAGTTTATTTCCAAATTTCGAAGAAAAAGAAAACAATGAAAAAACAAAACTTGGTAAGTACACAAATACATTTATTAAGTATAACTTCTTTTTACTTTTTACTAAAACTACCTACAAATCAAACATTCTATTCATATAAGCACAAAAAATATTCATTAAATTGTTTACATGTTTAAGGGTCGACAGCGAGTTACTTTAATGTTTTACGATGTGATCCTTTTGTACCTGTTTTATTGACTTATTACCAAGAACGCGAGCAACAATGCAAGTCGCATTGTATAATCTTAATTTTTTTGTAGTTGCCAGCTTAATGCTCCAACTTCACTAGTAAAGTAATCCGAATATTCGTTTCTAATTATGTTTGCACTTACCACCTGACTGCCTACATTCAACACTTGTTGAAGTGGTTGTAGTTCGGAATCATCTATGATCATTTCAATAGAGGTGTCTAATTCATCACGGTTAATTACAAAGTTATGTAGTATGCAACAAGCCTTAACAATATCTATTGCAAAATCATATGAAACGTTAATGGGCCGGTGAAATATTCGCCACTTATTGGCCAGTATGCCGAAAGTACACTAGACATATCTTCTTGCCCTACTCAAACGGTAGTTGAATACTCTTTGTTTAACAGACAAATGCTTGCCAGAATAAGGACGCATGACATTATTCGAAATAGAAAAAGCTTCGTCTCCGACAAAAACTTATTCTACCTATCTCTGTCTATAAAATCTGAATCTGTATCTTTATTCTCTCTTTATTCTATATCTTCAATTTCTGTAGCCATGGGAATTTTATCTCGAAACAGTCTACGAAAGAAGAGTTCATGAGGGGTGCTGTTGTACATTACAAGGTATTCTAGAAGGTCCTCTTTCCAATCTTTTTTACCCATTCATCTGTGGTCAATTACAATCCCGCACTCTCTACAAAACTCTTTGAAATTGTCACTTGTAAATTGATTGCCACTATCGGAAGTTAGGGTTGCAGGATATATGGCTATCAAACAGGCTCCACCCTGCTTGCGGCAGTCCGCGCGATCACATCGTAGTATAGTAAAGCCTATTGGAACCAACTCAGCATCAGCTATTGACTCATTACAGCCTGTCTCTGTGACAGCAATCAAGTCTGCCTCTGCTGTCAACACACTTGCGTTAAAGTTAACTAATTTAGTCCGAAGCCCCCTTACGTTTTGATAGAATATATCAATTGGTTTACTTCCACCCTTCTTTACTTTTGTTCGATCTCCGAAACCACACCCAAAATCACAAAATTCTATATTTACTGGCCAATTTTCAGGTTGACAGAGTACCTTATATTCACTTTCTGGTACACCAAAAATAAAAGAAGCATAGTCCCTTTCCGTTTTATGATTTATCTTTTCTACGCTAACTGTCACATTTTTGTTATATATTTTTTCACATAACTTTCCAAACATTCGACGTTTCCTTTTTTAAACGCCATACGTGTAAAAACTTCTTCCGCTCGGTCCCTTCAATCTGTATAGCGTTTCTGCAATCACCCTTTTTACCTCTTTTCGAGGGTATTTGCTCCGGGGTCTGTCATCGCCATTCAACTTTGCCTTGGTTTCCAACATATTAATTTTTTTTCGCAATTTCTCCTTTCCTTGCCCTTTATACATTGGCAATCCATTTTGGTCCTCAATTTCTTTTGACGCCGACGTCTTGGCCACACATTCCTTCATGGACGCATCGGTAATTTGGCTACTATGTTTGAGGACATTCACAAAAGATTGCACAGGTGTCATTGTATTCAAACCGTTATGTTCAGAAGTAAAACCAAGAAGCCGACAGGTTTATACCCGTATTAATATATCTTCTTTATTTGCGAAACATTCATCACGCATACTTCGCACAATAATCTGATCTCAATATCAATGATTATTGTCACTAAACCAAATATGGTCTAATCTAATAAACCTTACTAATAAAAGTAGTCTATCAAATTGACTTTAAGAACGTTTTGGCCTGTCATTTTGATCTTAACACTTTATCACATATTTATTATCGAGACATTTCATATTTGCCGTGATAATGAAAACATTTTTCTCTCATATTGACTTCACAAAACTACTATCTTTCATATTGATTGGCTTCTAATGGAAAGTCCTATCTTATTGGTCGTGATAGCAAAACATGGGTCTCTCTAATTGACCTCACAAAACATTGATCTTTCATATTGATCTCACCATTGTTACTGTAACTACAATATGTAAGAGAAATACAAAATCAGGTCGGTACCTACATATTTGGTATTTTATTGCACTCAACACTTGCTAGTAGTTATTATTTCCTTTTATAATATAATAAAAGCGATTATCAAATTGTGAACAATTTATGAACAATATAATAAAAACAACAAGCGCGGCTCACAGGTGCAAACTCGTGACTCATTGTTACTAACGCGCATTATTTCGTTTGGCAGGTTGGCCGGTACTTATTTTATGAAACCTTTTCGTTTGTTGACAATATAAAACACTGATAAAACAGCCACGGTAACATTATATAAAAACAAACTTACATTTCTCTTTCACACGCGTACCTTACCATGTTTCCTTATGTCTTTCAAAACTCACATTCTCCGTCGTCGCCACTTGTAAAATACTCAGAAACACCACCAATAGGTACACTTTATAAACGTAGAACTTTATAAACTCAAGTAACGTCCGCACGATACGGCGGTAGACAGTCGACTGACCCCCACTCGTGTGCTTCGGTATACTACATCACAGTCGACTAACCCCCACTCGTGTGCTTCGGTATACTACAACTGGTGTTTTGCGGTGCAAAATGTTTTGGTGCTAGAAGGCATGGCGGATAAAATCAAGACACAGCTATCAGCATCGGCGTCTGCGAGTGATATTGAAAGCCAAGGCAAAATTAATATTTACAATCGATACATATTTATATGTTCATATCAAGCAGGCAGCTACGGCATATGATTTATGGTCTACGCTTAAACATATGTATGATGATTCCGGCTACATGAGGAAGATTAGTCTACTGAGAAATCTCATTAACATTCGGCTAGAAAACTGTGAGTCAATGGCACAGTATGTTACTCAAATTGTAGAAAAGGGCCAGCGACTTCGAGGAACAAGATTCAGTATTACTGATGAGTGGATTGGAGCATTAATGTTAGCGGCATTGACCGAAAAATATGCGCCTATGATAATGGCCATTAAGCATTCTGGAATTGAGGTTAGTGCAGATATTGTAAAAACAAAATTGGTAGATATGTGTGCTGATGATTATGTTGGTACTACATCCGGTTCAGAAAGTGCATTTATTGCGAAAGGAAGACATAGATTGAAAAGTGGCAATACTAAAAGCGGCCATATTAATAGACAATAAGCATTCAGATACGACGAAACCTATCAAAATTATAAAGTGCAACAAATGTGTGCAAACCGGTCACTATAAAAATCAGTGTCCGCAATCGGATAATACTAATCGAAAACAGACCAATCAGCCTTCAGTGCTGTTTTTCTCAGTGGAAATTTTAATCAGAACAGCTGTTATATCGATAGTAACGCAAGTAAACACATGACTGCAAACAAAGATAACCTCACGAATGTATCGCAGCAGCAGGAAACACAAGAAATTATTATCGCAAATCAGACTAAAGTTTCAGTGTTGTGTTCTGGCGATGTAAACATCGTTACAGTAGTCAATGGAGAAGAATACGACGTTACAGTTGCAGATGTATTGTATGTTCCAAATTTAACCACTACCTTGCCTACCTGCTTTCTGTGAGTCAGTTGCTTAGGAATGGCAACAATGTAATTTTCAAAGGAGATATTTGCTATGTTTATAATCAACAGAAAGAACTCGTTGGCCAAGCAGAATTAGTTGATGGTGTGTATAAATTACAAACGTTACAAGTCGAAGAAATATTTGCAGCACTTGCAATAACATCATGTGAGACTTGGCACCGGCGATTAGGGCATATTAATAGTAATAGCCTGAATAAAATGAAAAATGGAGCTGTAGATGGAATCACATATCCTGAGGTGGTAAACATAGGCAAATCTTCATGCACTGTTTGTTGTGAAGGCAAACAAACTAGGTTGCCTTTCAAGAAAAGTTCATCGAAAACAGAGGATGTGCTGGAGATTATTCATGCAGATGTTGGAGGTCCTATGGAAAATCAATCGATTGGAGGATCAAAATACTATGTTTTGTTTGTGGATGACTATAGCAAAATGGCATTTGTTTATTTTATGAAAGCTAAGAATGAAGTGTTCCATTATTTTCAAGAATTTTAGAGTATGGTAGAAAACCAAAAAGAATAGAAAGTCAAGGTTCTTGGAACTGATAATGGAGGGGAGTTTTGTAGTCGTGAATCTAAACAAGAATGGTATAATTCACCAGAGAACTAATGCTTATACACCAGAACAGAATGGTCTCTGTGAGAGGATGAACAGGTCAGTAGTTGAAAAGGCCAGATGTTTAACTTACCACCAGGTATAGTAACATATAACAGACAAAAATAGTAAATGATTACCAAAATTAAACCCGCATTTTAATGTAAAATTACAACCTAAGTTTTAACATCTCGCTATCCTATTTAAGCAAAATGACTCCAAATAAATCATTGTTAACCCAAAAGTAGTAAATGATCGCCAAAATTAAAACAGCATTTTAATGTAAAATTATAACCAAAGTTTTTACATCTTGCTATCCTATTTAAGCAAACTGGCTCCAAAAAACTCATTGTTAGCCCAAAAATAGTTAATGAAAACCAAATTATTAACCATATTTTAATTTAAAATGAAATGCAAAAAAATAAAATCTCGTTATCCGATTAAAGTAAATTACCCTCGGCAAAAAAAAATATTTTGCCAAACACAGTAAAGTAAATTTACTCCTAACCTTTTGTCTCCAAATTGATTAACCACTACAAAAAAAAATTATCTTGAGCGTTTCGTTTACAACCAAATGCTATACCTAAAATAAAAAATAAAACTCTTACAATTTCAATAATCCCTTTTTAATTATTGAAACAATCATTAAAAAGATAGTCCTCTTAAAACTAATAATAAACAGTTCAAAGATCTTAAAACTAAACTAATAATAAGCATTTAAAAAATCTTAAGAAGAATCAGTCTTCTGTATTAATTCACTGCACAATTAATGCTTTCTTAGCTTTGGCTGGTCGTCCTCTTTTGCGCTTCATGCCAATCGGAATAGCTCTGGCCTCTGAAGGTGGCTGGACGTGCTTAAGCCGAATCGCCAATCCAACGAGATGCTTGCAAATGTAATCTTTGAGAAACTTTGGGCAATTGCATGTGCCGTGTAACCAATTTTCCTTTTCTCGGGGCATTATAACTTCCCACTCTCTAAAATGTTGCTCTTTGTATTCGTCAAAGGTCTCCCATGGCTTTTCATAATTTTTGCAATCTAAATCCGACCCAGCTGGAATTCTGTATGAGCAAACTAGCTCAGTACTATTCTTTAATGGCACCTGCTTCGACAGTTTTGCCCATTGGTAACTTTCTGTCCACATCTTTAAAGATACTGTCGGCAGTTGAGCGAACCGTCTCTCAGTATTATTAATCACGTATTCATTAGACCAGTCCTTGACTATATCAGAAGCAATTACTAAGAACCGCGCCAAAGGATGACGCTCACGAAGCGTGCCACCATCTTTATTGTTTTATTGAAAGATTCCAGAGCATTGTTTGTAGCAGGAGTCCCCAGAGATGCGCCCAAATACCAGAAACGATTTAGTATTAGCCATTCATTTTCAAAGTATGTAACAAAATCTTTTTCGGCTTTCCACTTGTCCAAAAATTTTTCGCTGGCTCGATCAAATATTTCCTGAGTTGAGGCACACTGTAAAGCATCAATATCTTGTAAGATCTCTTTTTTGGGATTTCTTTTGCACACTTTGCTCTACTCTTGTTTGCATCTTCTTTTTCGCATGCGCCCAGCACATTCTTATGACTGTATCTGTTCCAAATGTGCACGCAAAGGCAGTTTGTATAGCCTTCGCTGCATCACAGACCAAAACTTTACAACTTAAAGTGTATGAAAATATTGAGAAAACTGCTTTTTTTAATGCGGAAAATAAAAATATGAAGTCTTCCGTTCGTTCAGCTGTTGTCACAGCTAATCCAAATGGGTGAAAATGTTTATCTCTGTCTGTAGTTCCAATCACAAGTACTGGAAACCCTTGCCAAATGAGCTTATATGTGGCATCCGCGTGAAGAACAGAACATTGGCGTGATAGACCAATTAAATATTTCGTCGTTAACATGAACCGGAAGTTCTGATCTAAATCATCTTCAGAAATTTCATACGCCAAAACAAAAACTTCGTGACCGTCATCAGGTATTTCAGAGTTTTCTTTTAACCATAATTCAAGCTGTCCCAAGCTTATTACCGATGGCCCGTATTTTTTCTTACGTATGATTTTAAGATAATTGTTTAACTGTAACTTAGTCGGCAGAACTAGTCCATTAATTTTACTTAAGTTCTTCATAATAGATTTAGGTTTCAAACGCAGTTCGAATAGTTTTTCTATTTCCTTTTCGTTGCCTCATTTATTCCCCTAGTCGACTGACAGTCAGAATTTTCATGGTCGTGACATGTTTCAGTACGAAATAATAATATATCATCACACGATGCGTCAAATAAAAGATAAATCGCGGCAGAACACTGAATTTCAGCCCGAAGCTTCACTTTGTTACAACGATAGTAACGTTTTACTCCTTCTTCAGTCGTATGAATTTTTTGTATTGACCAGGTCTTCTCATTTTTGATAAATTCCTCAGCGCTCCGCACAGTTATAAATTTTCTTTCAAAAACCCAAACTTTATTTTGCCTTCGACGTTTTTTCGTATGCTCTGTGATTTTATATTCGTCTTCATCTGATTCCGATGAAGTACTCAACAGCGGAGCACACGAACTCGGTCCCGCTAAGTTTTCATTCGCCATTGCAAAGAAGATAGATACCAAAACACACCCAATAAAAGCAAGTGCTCGCACGCGACTAAATTGGCGATCGTGTCCGGGCGTGCGCGGCGCTTGCGGTGTGGTGGGAGAGGATCGTAAGCCGCAGACATAACTTAATATGGCATCATAATGCTTCATTTGGTAATAAGCCTACATTTTATGTCAATCATAGTGGTTTATTTAGGCAGAAATAGCGCATTAATTTGCTCGCTAAGATTTGGTGATCATTTACTACATTTGGTGTTCGAATACAATTTGAAGTGCAGTCGTGACTAAAATAGCTAGTACTATTGTAATTTTAGACGTTATTTATCTGGTGTTAAGTATATATTTTTGGTAAAAGAACTAAGGGTATCAAAGCATTTTATGGTGATCATTATATTTAACCCCCGTTGAAAAGGCCAGATGTTTGATCTATGATGCTGGATTAGAGAAGAAATTCTGGTCAAAACATCAGTATATTTGAGAAATAGATCGGTTGTCACGGGGCTGAATAATAAGACTCCTTACGAAGTATGAACTGGTCATAAACCAAACCTAAGTCATTTGCGTATATTTGGCAGTGTAGTCATGGTTCACATTCCCAAGGAAAGTTTGAAATGGGATAAAAAGGTCAACAAGCTGATTTTTGTAGGTTATGCAGGAATACTAGAAACAAAGACGTGAATACTAGAAACAAACACAAATTTGTTGTTGCTACAACCAGGCTTAAAAAAATAAGTGGTTCGTTTAGATGCCAATATATACGTTTTTATAATAAACTACCTAGCCACATTCACTAACTAAGCCTTAATAAATTCAAAAACGTTATAAAGCGGAAACTTTGTCAGAAAGCCTTTTATACTGTCAAAGACTATATTGAGGACAAAAAGGCTTGGGATTGAGCTGCTCCAATAAATTTACACAATTAATGTTGATTTAAATACCTTTTTACATATTCTATGTACAATGAAATGAATATTTACTTTGTAAAGTATTACTTATACTATTTTTAATTATTGTGAATGTGAAGACTACGTGGACATTGTTTTTTATTTATTGTATCCTTTTCTCAGTTTTAGTCATAGTCTGAGCTGACAGTTTGAGTAATTTATGCGGCCTACCCAAATGTCTTGTCTTTGGACTTGACAGGTCCACTCAATCTGTGTGGTTCTTTCCTCAAAAGACCATTTCAGACTGCAATCTACATGGTCTTCACATAATCTGGTTATGTCTGGACTTTAAAAGAGACTGTGACCTCTGAGTTTGTTTCGGCGTTTCTTCTCAGAGTAGTCAGATAGGAAACGTCGATCTCATCTAGTTTAAAAAAAAAATGTTTAACGTGTAAAAGTGTTTGTAAAAACCTACTTACAGAAATAAATCATTTATCATTTAAAAAGTAAAGGATATAGAGTATATGATCCTGTAACTAACATTCTAACAATCAGCAGAGATATAGTTGTCATGGAAAGTCCAAACCAGAATATGGTAGAAATACCATTGGAATGTAAGCATCCAGTGGAGGTAACTGAGCAAGAGAATGATTATGAAGAAATTGAGAGCTCTTCCTCTAAAGCCGATTGTGGGGATGAAACTTATGTCTCACAATCTGAAGTTTCAGTGAGTACTTCCAATGATAAGTCATTTGACACAGTCTCAGACCCAGGTGTTGAACCAATTGAGCCAGAGCAATTACCCAAACGCACTAGAGTGAGACCAGATAGGTATGGTTACAATAACTTGTGTATGGTGGAGTGTGAAGACAGTAGTCAAGGAAAGATCACACTCGGAGAAGCATTAAATGGCCCAGAAAGTCATTCAGAGAAAATGAAGCTTGGGAAGTGGTGGACAGGCCAAAGCAAGCTACAGTGGTTAAGTGTAAGTGGGTGTTAAAGAAAAAAGTGGACAGTGTTGATAACATAAGATATCGTGCTCGGTTAGTTGCTAAAGGTTTTACACAGAAAGCAGGAATAGACTATATCGAAACTTTTTCCCCAGTGGTTTGTCACTCAACAATAAGACTATTGTTTGCATTAAGTGTTAAATATAACCTAGATATAACTCACCTTGATGTAACCACAGCATTTTTAAATGGGCATTTAAATGAAGATGTATACATACCTGAGAATTTTGAATGTCATGATAGGGAGAACAAAGTGTTAAAACTAAAGAGGGCAATCTATGGATTGAACCAATCAGCTAGGGCATGGTATAAGCGTGTCGATGATTGTTTACAATCTTTTGGATATAGAAAGTCAGTGTATAAACCTTGTTTATTTATTAAACAACATAATACTACCAGAACATATATGGCTTTGTTTGTAGATGATTTTTTTTATTTTTTCTGATTGTAAAAGAGAAACTGAATGTCTTAAGACCGAACTAAAATCTAAATTTAAATTAAAAGACTTGGGAGACATTAGACAGTGCTTGGGTATGAGGGTCAAAAGAAAAAAATATGAGATTTTTGTAGACCAGGAACAATTTGTAGATCATTTGTTGAATAAGTTTAATATGAAAAATTGTAAACCAGTCAGTACACCAGGGAGACACTTGTTGTACTCAGTATCCTTACCAGCAATTAATAGGAAGTTTGCTTTATTTATCAATGTTACCTTAAGTCAGTTTAATAATAATTATATTCATTGGAACCATGTAAAACGTGTTTTAAAGTACTTGCAAAAAACAAAACATTTTGGTTTAAAATATGTCAAGGATGATTTAGATTTAATAGGCTATGCTGATGCTGATTGGGCATCAGATTGTGTGGACCGTAAGACTTAAACAGGTTTTATGTTTAAGATGTTTGGTAGTGTCATCTCATTTGAATGCAAAAAAACAATTAACAATAGCTTTGTCTAGCACAGAAGCTGAGTATATGGATATATGCGAGGCAAGTAAAGAAGCCATTTATTTAAGGAACTTGTTAATAGAATTGAAATGCAGAAATGAGTCACTTATACTATTATATAATGACAACCAGAGTGCACAATTGTTAACTAAACATAGTTTATTCCATAGAAGAAGCAAGCATATTGATGTTAGATTTCATTTTGTTAGAACAGCTGTTGAAAATAATTTTATTGTAATAGAGTACTTAAATACAAATGATATGCCAGCAGATATATTGACAAAAAGTTTATGTTGCCAAAAACATTATAATTTTGTTAAACAGTTAGGTGTCACTCCAATGTAGAATGAAATTTGTTCACTTTACTGTGTTTCAAATGATTAGTTGTTTTTCTTTTGTCTATCTGTCAATCATTTTGATAAGGGAGTGTGTTAAATATGTATCAAAATAATGATTGTGTTCTGCTAGCGACATCTAGTTGTATGTAAAGAAAGGACTGCTTTGTGGGTCTATGTATGATTGAATTAAACTAGTCTGCCAAGTGTCAACGTCAACCATTGTTTCATTATTATACAATTAACAATAAACGACAATTCCTAGTCCTTATTATTATTATTATATTAGTATACTAGCACTTAACGCGTGGCTAACCGCGCGGCTTTTCCTTTTAAAACCCTTTCAAATCGCTTTCACTTCCACACTTTAAATACGTATAAGCAACTACGCTCTAAAGAACGCACGTAATTTAAACTAAGCACTGTAGCAGCGCTAGTCGAAATAAATAAATCGAATTATTGCGGAGCAATAACAACACGTCCGCTCGCTACGACTGCTGAGCGACGACTATCCAGCTGGTCAAGAGGAACATCCTGAGATGGCAGTATTGCAATATTTCCTCTGGACTTCTTCTCTTGGATTGCATTTTCGATAAGATTGGAGGTGGAGGAGGCCGTCCGCTTTTGGTGACTGTGCTGGGCTTATTGGACATAGTGAGTGTTTCCTTCACAGCTACTTTGAAATCGCTAAGGGGCAACCATGCATCAGCATTACTGCGTCTATACAACAGCCCAGAATTGACTGTCTTCGTATCTAAAAGATGAAAGCAAATGCGGTGATATAATTTGTGTGATCAGATCTGGGTCCTGTAATAACCAAGAAGTGCATCTAATAGATCCACACCTCCCATATGACTGTAGTATGTCGTGACAGCCTTTGGACAGGGGACAGCTTGGTACACTTTTCTTTTTTATTAGAGTATCTCTTTTCTGTCATAGGTTTGCTGCCAACATAGGTCGATCGATGCCAAGTTTACAACTCTGTTGTCATACCACCTTGTCACAGATTTCTCTACATTGTCCACGGTTGAAAGTTTTTCAACTGTAGCACGTCCTTCCTTGTTCAACTGAGACTTTCCTTTTGCAGTATAACTTAAATCCTGGAACGCGGTTGGCTTTGATTCTGCCCAGGGGAAAAATACCCTGTTAAGTGAACTAAAAGTGGCAGTGATTTGTCTCAATGTGAATTTAGACTATTCATTGCTTCTTCATAAGTGTTAGGTATTTCAAACTCTGTGAAATTTTTTTCCAAGTGTTAATTCCGACGTGGACGAAGCGTGGTGTTTCTCTGTTCCTTCTGTTCCAAACATATAACTCTTCACACTTTTCGGAGCAAGTTTCCTTCGCTTTTCTTTTGGTTCATTTACATAACCAATGGATTGCAAGTGTTGCAAGTTAGGTTTAACTCCATGCCACAGTTCAAATGGTGTAACATTTCCTGTCTGGTTTGATGTATTTCTATTTAACAAATATATTTCAATAATAATTCTGCTCACATGTTTAAGGGAATGTTCTTTGCATATAACATTGTTCTTGCAGTTTCCATGAGTGAACGCAAATGACCTTCCCGCAAACGGGGCAGGTGCAACCAGGCGCCGCGAGCTCGGAAGCAGCTTCGCTCGATCGACCATCCCCCCGTGGTTTTACCGCCGACCCCGATCCAAGTGTCGGGGCTCACTTTATTAATTTCCTTATTTTGTTTGAAATGCAGCATAACAGGTGAAGCAGCATCATCATCATATTAACACACATTCAAATCACGGAATCGAATTACAGTCGAAGCTCCCTACAAAAGGGAAAATCTCGATTCCGAGAGGTGAATTATGTGGAGCTGTTTTATTAACAAAGTTATTTATTAAAGTAAAAACATGCTTTGGGAATAATAACATTAAGTGTTACGGTTGGAAGGACTCCATAGTTACGTTGGGGTGGATACAGGGACAACCTGAGAAATGGAAGCCGTTTGTAAGCAACAGAGTTAAGCAAATTCTTCAAGATATGCCGTCAAATACAAGGCAAGGCGCTATGTTAAATCAGAGGAAAACCCCGCAGATTGCGCCAGTCGTGGTATTTCCGTTAAACAACTGGAAAGGCACTCTCTATGGTGGAGTGGTCCATCATGGCTGCTTTTATAATGGAATAACGAAGAAACTCCGTTATATTTTCAAAGGAAGAAGAGAAAAAGCAATATTTAGTTAATTTAGTACAAGGTATGGATAGCACAGTAAAGGGAATTATACAAAATTGCAGTAGTTTCTCACGTGCAATCAGAATAGTTGCCTGGATATTACGGCTTTTACTAAAAAATAAGGGTGGAAGGGAACGGAATCTTACATTAGCTGAAGTCAAGGAAGCAAAATGGAAGATAATTCGTCACGTACAAGAAGACAAATTCTCCTACGAAATTGAGAACTTGAGAAGAAAGGAAAGCATTAATAAAAGTAAACTAATTACATTGACTCCATATCTTGGAGAGGATAGCCTTATTCGTGTGGGGGGAAGGTTACGAAATGAATTGAAAAAAAATTGTATTAGTAAAGACATGCAACATCCCATCATAATTTCGCATACTGGTAGGCTGACTGACTTAATAATAGACCAAGCGCATAAGCTTACTTTTCCTGGCGGCCCTCGCCTAACATTATCACTTATCAGACAGAAGTACTGGATTGTGGGCGGTAATAGAGCAGTAAAGAGGTGATTAAGGTTATGTGTAACATGTGTTAAAAATAACCCTCGGATGCAATATCAAATAGGTGTAATCCGACACGACCGTTTGAGCATACGGGAATTGATTTTACGGGATTTATCCTAATAAGGAGTAGCAATAGACGAAGTATCAAATGCACAAAGGGTTAAATAGCCGTATTTATATGCATGGCTACAAAGGCAGTGCATTAAGAAGTAGTATCTGACTTAACTACTTCGGCTTTTCTAGCAGCATTAAAAAGAATGGCGGCCCGAAGAGAGGCTCCGGAACATATTTATAGTGATAATAGCACAAATTTTATTGGTATTAATCGTATAGTTGACGCCGAGTATAACGAGTTAAAACGTGCATTCACAAGTGAACAATTTGGCACCACAATTACGGACATGGAAATAAACTGGCATTTCAATGCACCTGCATGGCCCTCTGCTGGCGGATTATGGGAAGCAGCTGTAAAAAGTTTAAAGGCTCATACAAAGAAGGTAATCGGAGATCAAAAATTCACGTATGAAGAGCTCTCAACACTCTTATCGCAGTTAGAAGCCTGTCTAAATACTAGGCCTTTATGTCCAATTTCAGAAGACCCGGAGGACATAAACTTTCTAACACCCGCTCATTTCTTAACTGGAGGGCCGACACTTTCATTGTTGCCCACCGGGAATGACTTACGAACTAGATGGTATTTAGTGGAGAAAACTTTCCAAGATATATGGAAGAGGTGGCAGTCGGAATGCTTGCCCACCTTGACATCCCGTAGTAAATGGCAAAAACCACGAGAAAACTAAAAATTACAAGATTAGGTTGCCATTCACGACGCTAATGGATCTCCTGGAAAGTGGGCTATGGGCAGAGTTGTAAAGTTACATCCGGGCACTGACAATATCGTAAGAGTAGTTTCGCTAAAGACAAAGAACGGAATAATCAAACGTCCTATTGTCAAATTAAGTCCCTTACCAGTGCAGGACAGTAGTAAAACAGCAGCCGAAAATAAGGAGCCACACATTTCAGCAAAACCACGGCCCGTAGTAGGAAGGACGAAACGGTCTTGGTAACGTTTTAACGATAATGCTTTCATTCATATCGCGGGCTTCAAGCCAGAGGGGCGTATAAAAAAAAATCGTTTTTTTTTTATTACGTCAATTATTTCTAAGTTTATCGATACACCACCTCTGTTTTTTTCATATTTGTAAGTTAATTACTTTAGAAGATATTAATAAAATACTTTTAGGCGTATAACTGAAGTCAGATATTATTTTCATGCCAGAAAGACGTACCGCGGTCGTAACCACTAATGACGAATTGTGTAACGGACCACAAAGTCGTACGTACATACGATTTCATACGATTATCGATTTTCATATGACCTACCAATATATTGTCGGGCCATATAGACGTATGTTCATACGACTTTCGAATTTGTTTTGATTACCAATAAAATGTCATGCCAAAAAGACGTATGCGTATACGACCTTGAATTCGCGCCGCGCTCTTTCCACCCGGCCGTATAGAGTGGACAGGCGGAACATAGAAACGGACACAACAATGAATCGGACCAAAACTATTCTTCGTTTAGCGCTACATGGTAAGTTATAATTTTACCTATTGTAAACAAGCAAGTTGGTATGTTATTGTGGTTGTTAATTGTTGAGTTTGTTTGTTACTTAGGCAATTCCATTGAGCCGTTTGGCAGTTCGGTTATGTAGACAAATTTTCATATTTATAATATTTAATGAGATTATATTATTATTATTATTATTGCACTCCACTGCACTAATGACACTGCAATCTTAACGCGAATATAGTATAGTTACAGTGAACACCCTGTCAACCTATACAAAACTGTCCAATTTACACAATCTGAAATGAATCTTAGACCGTCGTGATAAAGTAGAACATCTAAAAAAAAACAGGTTGTGTGGCATTCTCTGTAGGTACACCATGTAGTCGGTAGGAATTGAATTAATGAGATACTATAGTCAAAAAAATATAAGCCCGTTTTGACAGATAACAGTGGCAATATAATGTAGATTTTATATCACAACCATAAGGTTGATATTTCTTCAATATGGATACCTAAGATAGATGTCATTGTTTAAGAAATTTCAACCTTATGTCTCTAACATATCAAACGCTGTCAAATCGGACCTCTTATATTTTTTTGACTATAATAGCCACTTGCAGTACTAATAGGAATGCTTGTGTAGTTTGTTAGTAGTATGTTTACGACGATAGTGCAATGGTGGGATTCGAACCCGCGACCTCTCGTTCGTAAGTCCGATACCAAAGCCTCGGGGCTGCAAAAGCTTGTATGTATGGTATGTTGTTTCTGTAATTAATACAGGTTGACCTTAAAACCGCTCTTATCGCGCGATCAACATGTTTTCCTAGGGCATAAGTAACCTGTAGGTAACTAATTGTCTTTTTTTTCTTTTTTTTAGAGACTCAATCAAATCATGAAGATTCACCAATCGCTGTTGAAGAGCAGATGGAGATTTTGCATTCTGTGCCTTCGTCACCTATGGGATCGCCTATGACTTTTTCACATACGGAGGTAAAAAGAGAATCGCCACTTACAACAGAACAACGAGAGACAATAGCCGAAATGGAAAATTTAGGCTTTAACGGTGATGACTTTAATGTTCCAATATTATATTCCAATAAATTACCATTGTCAGTATTTAGAACAAACAAGGATTACGAACTACTAGAATCATCGGTTCCATCAATAGAAAAACAACTTACACCGCTGTTTACACCAGTAGCATCCATACACTCAATAGGAAGCCCTAGCATTATAAAAACTTCTGAAAACCCACTTAACGAGAATCTGCCAACTTTCATTGATGACAGCAATGACTCTGTAGCAGACCCTAATTACCAACCTGAAGACGAGGAAATTCAGTGCTCGCCAATGTCACCCATTACGTCCTCATCTTTAGTTCAAATGAAACAAACAGTCAGCATTACTAATCCACAAGAAATAGAAGAATCGCCCACACTTGAAAGTAACCTTGATGGAATGGAAAATTTAGGCTTTAACGGTGATGACTTTAATGTTCCAATATTATATTCCAATAAATCACCATTGTCAGTATTTAGGACAAACAAGGATTACGAACTACTAGAATCATCGGTTCCATCAATAGAAAAACAACTTACACCGCTGTTTACACCAGTAGCATCCATACACTCAATAGGAAGCCCTAGCATTATAGAAACTTCTGAAAACCCACATAACGAGAATCTGTCAACTTTCATTGATGACAGCGATGACTCTGTAGCAGACCCTAATTACCAACCTAATGACGAGGAAATTCAGTGCTCGCCAATGTCACCCATTACGTCCTCATCTTTAGTTCAAATTGAACAACCAGTCAGCATTACTAATCCACAAGAAATAGAAGAATCGCCCACACTTGAAAGTAACCTTGATCGTCAAAAAGTGAAAAGATGCAAAAGAAAAATACCGGAAAATTGGAAAAAAAACATTAGAAAAACGAAGAAAAATTGCGGTGAAACATACATATCAAGACAAGGAAAAAATTTACCGGCAAAAAAGTGTGGCAATGAAAATTGTAAGTGTCAACGAGCTTGTCATACAAAAATTGATAATAGTACGAGAAAAAATATTCATTTGTCATTTTGGGGTTTGGGTAGTATTGAAAGACAAAGGGATTTTATAGTATCGAACGTGGTTTCAACTGAAGCAACAGGATCACGTGTGGCAAACTCGAGAAGGAAATTCACTTTGAATTACAGTTTCAAGATTAATTCGGAAACGGTAAATGTGTGTCAACCTTTTTTTCTTCGTACACTGGATATCAGTGACAAGATGGTCCGTACTGCTTTGAAGAAAGCGCGCCGAGGAGTGGGTAATATACCTTCCCCTGATAAAAGAGGTCATCACATACCTTGCAACAAATTTAGCGAAGACAACATAAAGTTTGCTAATGATCACATAGATTCATTTCCAAAAGTGCCTTCTCATTGGTGCCGTAAAGATACAAAAAAGATTTATTTGGAGACCATTCTTAATAAAGAAAAAATGTACGAATTATATAAGCAGCAATGTTTGGAGAAACATAAGAAACCCATTGGAAAAACTTCGTATAAAGAACTAATTTTAAATAAGAATATAGGTTTCCACAAACCAAGAAAGGACCAGTGTTGGTGTAACAAATATGAGCAATTAACTGAAGAAGAACAAAAGGCGAAACAAGAAGAATACGAAGAGCATGTTAACAGAAAATACTATGCACAGGAAGAAAAAACATCGGATAAAATTAAAGCAATAGAAGATAGTCGCTCGCATGTTTGTACTTTTGACTTTGAAGCAGTGCTATATTGTCCTTTGGTTTTAGGAAAACCTGTATTTTATAAACGGAAGTTAGGTAGCATGAATTTCACAATTCACAATGCAGCGACTAAACAAGGCTATTGTTATTTTTGGCCGGAATATGAAGGCAACCGTGGATCAAACGAAGTATCAACATGTCTCTATAATTACATCTCAAATCTCTCCAATGTCGATCACCTGATTTTATTTTCTGACTGCTGTCCAGGGCAGAATAGAAATTCTGTGCTTGTTGCTATGTTCAATTATATCATTACATCACCTGACAATGAGATTAGAGTCATTGACTATAAATTTCTTGAACCTGGTCACACCTACATGGAGTGCGACAACATGCACTCGACAATTGAACGAGCTTCTGAGTATGCCAAAATCTACATCCCTGATGACTGGCAAAATGTCATACGACTAGCTCGTAAAGACAATCCATATAATGTTCAAGTTATGGAACACACAGACTTTTTGGATTTCAAATCACTGCGAAGTACTATTATTCCAAATACAATGAAAGCCACTGATGGAACTGTTTTGCAATGGGCTAACGTAAGATGGTTACGATTTAATAAAAACATTCCCCATTCGTTGTTTTTTAAATATGATTACTGGGAAGAATTCAAAGAGGTAAAATTAAAGGAGAGAGTGACTAGATCGGCACATAATTCGAATCTTGCAAAACTGTACCCAGGACAAATTTTGTTAAAACAAGCAAAACATAAAGATCTGATGGAAATGTGTCGAGATGGGACGATAACCAAGAATCATAACTACTACTATGAAAAACTTCCTGTTCAGTCTGTATCAGGATCGTTGCCTCAGACTAGGCCTCGTCAAGATGATGACGAATTGGAATTATCTGCAACACGAGCCTCATATTTAAGACGTCGGTCAGGGAAAAAGAATTAATCAGTTCATTTGATAAGAACCTACATAGATGTTTGAACTTATTACTTTTGCTTCCTCAGTTGGATCTAAATAGATTAAGTCGTTTGCCTGTACCTGCTCTAAATTTAAATGAGATTGCATGCAACTAAATGGAAAGTACTTACAATTCATGTTTTTCATCTTTATAGATGTATTTTTTTTGTTTGTTTATTTTGTTTCTATTTAGGTAAACATCTATTTTTTAATAGGTAACCAAGTTTAATACTATTCATGTTTTTCATCTTTATAGATATTTTTATAATTAGCAGTTTTTTTAGTTTGTTTATTTTGTTTCTATGTAGGTAAACAACTTTTTTTCAACAGCTTTAAGATCTCTGCAATCGTGAATGCTGAATACGACCAAAGAAACAATAATTATCTTTGTAGTACTAGAGTGTTAATTATACCTATGCTAAGTTTTTCTTTTAAAAGTTTAATGGTTCCAAGTTCCTTTTTAAATAATAATAATTTTAAACTATTTTTGTGCCTTGTTTTATTTCACTGCCATCGAAATTAACCCTAAGACCCTTACGTCTGTCTTGGAACAAAACTAATTTTATATTTTTGACAAGCCAGACGGACGTGTAATCTTCAAAAATGGTAGAAATACTGCATTTAATTATATAAAAAATATTTATTTTTGATATTTCACGATACTTGAACTAAGTTCAGATGTTTTTTTAAATATTTCATTGCGTAAAAAGCTTTTGTATTTTACGTCCATCCGATAAAAGCGTTTTCTGAGAAAAGAAAACATACGGTTTGCCTACAACTGTCGAGCCAAATGGAAGTAAGTGCAATATTGCAAGTTTTTAAATACTTACAAAGAAAATAATCATTTCACGTTATTAAGAAAGTACTTTAGTAGACACATGTACATTTTCAGATAAAGAGATACATTGCAAAAAAACTTATTAAGTTTTTTTTGTCTCCTGAAAAGTAGGGGTATTGCTTATACGCCCCTCTGGCTTGAAGGCCACGATATATTTTCTAACATACGTATCAGCCACGCATCCGGCAAATTATAATATAAGTACATTCGACAATAATAAGGGGTTATACTTAGACAAAATAAGTAATATGCAATTAATTCAAGAAAAATAGAAAATCGTTGTTTACTATGACATGAACCTCTTTTGGGAAAGAGAAAAGGCATTCGAACGATACTATAAAACTTTACAAAGCATGTGTTCTGCCCTCAATGAAAAAACACATTGCGAAATTACTATGAACCAATTACGTCTCGGCTTCGAGGAACTCAAATACTACGATCAGGTGTTGCTTACACAGCACCCGGGCACGCGCTCGAAGCGGCGTCGGCGCGGCCTTATCAATGGTGTCGGTTACGCAGCTCACGCCCTATTCGGAGTATTGGATGAATCATTCGCTGAGCAATATCAAAAGGATATCACTTTAGTTAAAGAGAATGAGCAGCATTTAGCAAACCTGAGGAAATATCAGACGTCTGTTCTGGAAGCGGAATACAATCTCATGAAGAGGAAGAGAATTATAATTTACGAAAATTAATAATCGACACGAAAACGAAGTGAAGAAGGCAATTAGTACTCAAGTTACTGAAATCAATAGTCTAGAGCGTATTACTCAGTTTACACTTGACAGCATCTCAGCAACAAACGTACTTGCTAATTTAAAAATTTGCAGGAGTATCTGATTGACACCATCACAGATATTTACCATGGTCGCTTAAATTTTCACCTTATTTCTTCGGAACAATTGCGCAAGGAGTTAAATATAATATCTAATCATATTTCAACAGATCTTTCTTTGCCCATTACTAATGGTCAAACACAATTTGGTAACATATATAAATTTCTAAGGGTTAAGGCACGGATGCTTCAGGAGCAGTTAATATTGGAAGTCTCGGTTCCACTTGTCAGCCGAGATGGTTTTGAAATATATAAGGTGATATTTATTATTGTAACTTACCTAAGCTTTTTTATCATATGAAGGCAGAAGATAGCCTATGTAAGACAGGAATAAAAAAGCAATGTCAATTCGAGAAAATGCCATGCGATAACGAATGTATTGACCTGAATAGAAAGAATACAAATTTATACTTTTGTTGTGACCGGTGTCCATTACATATTATGTGTGGCGATCAAATTTCTGCAGAACAATTAAATACGACTGGACTAATAAGCGTAGGTCATGGTTGCATGTTACGAAACAAGAAAGGTGTCATTTATGCTCATAATGCTTATCAGAATGTGCTCAAAACTGGACCAATGGTGTATTCGCCTTACATGGATTCAATTAATAATATGATAAATGTGTCTTTATCGTCAGATGTTATGGGAAATTCAAAAAATAACTACACCATTAGTAGTCTTGATAAAATAGGTGCGGATCTGGAACATATGCGGAAGGCTGCTCCCATAATTAGCAGTGTGACATTCCATGACGTACATCAGTATATTGCCTCATACTCCATTTTGGGAATTTTCGTCGTGGTAGGAGTGATTCTACTGTTTCGGAGGTTTCGTCGAACCGGTACGGCAGCACCTGTCCAGCAGATACCATCAACCATAGCAATGATGCCAATACAGCAAACCACTGATGTGCAGGAGGAAACATCGGTAGCGGCATTGGCAGCAGCAGAGGCAGCCAGTATCGCAGTGGGCTCCAAAGAACCCACCCGGGACCGGACTCCGATAGGTCTTAGTGTTAATGATAGTGCCGTGGAATGGTGTAAGAAGTGTTAGCATAAGTTTAAAGGCTTTAAGCATTTCCTAGAGACTGTTAAGCATATAATGGATTCATCTTGTAAAGCACTACATAACTTTTGTCTGGGGGAGTATGTAGGTACGAGCCAAGGCTGTACATTTTGCTCGCTCAGGCTTCCTTAGTTTTATTAGCGTGATGATTTCCTATGTATGTATGTACTATTACTAGTATTATTTAATCATGAGATGGCGTATTCATACAGTTTGTTTCGTCTCAGATATTCAAATGATGTAAAGAATGATAAAAATTCATAGAGATGATGTTGATTACCAGCGTATACAACGGAGAGAAAATCCATCCAATGACATACGTGACTATCGCCTTCTTACTGTAACGTTCGGGACAGCCTCAGCACCGTATCTTGCAGTAAAAACTTTGAAGCAACTAGCGATTGATAAAGGGGATAAGTTTCCTGAAGCAGCTAGAATATTCGAGAGGATTCGAGTTGAAGAAATGGTCGTCTAATAATACTGAATTTATGCAAAGTATAAAACCAGATGAAAGAACTACTAAAGCTCATTTCGATTTAAAGCTAGATGGAATAATTAAAGCACTAGGGGCTCAATGGAATTTAGAAAATGATCGATTTGAATACAACTTAAACCTACCTGAAGTCGATGAAGAAAACATTATCACGAAGCGGAATATCCTCTCAGATATACAAAAGTTGTTCGACCCTTTAGCCGGGTTTCCACCGCGAAAGGGTGATGAGCGGGAAATGGTTAGGCGGGACGGACGCCTTTTAAATGAAATAGGTTTACATTTCCACCAACAAAGAGATTTGTCTGTTAATTTCCACTGCAAAAGAAAAATGAGAGAGAGGAATCAGCGGAGCGAGCTGAACGGAAAATGAGAAATGGAAAATGAACAATCAGTTTACACAGAGAGCGAGTTCAGTTGGAGTTTTGAACTGGTTGCGTGCGGTAGTGTTTTGTTGCGAATTTGCGATGTTGTCGAGTGACACGGGATCAAGTGAAGACAGTGATTATGTATACAGAAAGAAAAAGTACATATTATTGTATCTTAAGCATAGAAAAAAACGTACATGACGGAGATTTTGGTTATGCCAGCACATTCGAGAAAGAACATTGAAAGGGGAATATAGGCTATTCTACGATTTAGACGATGAAAAATTTAATAACTATTACAGGGTTAGTAGAGAACAATTTCAAGAACTTTTGTCATTTGTGGAGGCCGATATTTTAAAACAAAATACTTACTACAGGAAAGCTATTTCACCTCAAGAGAAACTAGCTGTGTGCCTAAGGTAAGAAATAAAACATTGTTCATAATTATTTTAAACTTTACTCAGAATCAAAACAAAGCAGGGAAAAATAAAGAAAATAATATTTATACTTAGTTATCATTATCATGTAACGGCGTTGGCTCAAATGTTTCCGGCCTACTGTATCCGTGATAGATCGTATTGGTAGAACGTGATGATCCTGCTGCTGCCGGCATGGTGTTGTTCACAGTCTCTCCCGACGTAGTGTATCCGTCATTGACAGGACGTGATGATCCTGGTACTGCCGGCAAGGTATTGTTTATCGAGTCTGGTGTAATGCATGTACTATAATTTTCTAGTTCTTCCTCGGCGTCACTAACGATGAGAAATATTTTTTTCTTAATACGATTTTGAATCCATGTCGGCATCGTTTTAATAGTGATCGCCATACTCTCCAAAAACAAATCAATGGCATCTTTTTCTTTTTGTGCATTCGTCATTGTGCGTCTTAAATATCTATCTTCTTGTCTTTTTGGTGATTATGCTCCATTTCTTTCAATAATTCTATGAAATCACCTTCTGCATTCCGTTTTCTTGTCTCAGCTCTACTTCTTGAGGTGCACCAGCCTCCGCATTATTTATTGTATTGTTTCTTGAAAATACTGATACTTTGGAACTATTAGCATCTTCATCATCTTGCACTTCAGAGGTTTCAGGGGTTGCCGATGATTGTGTATTTGTAGAATTTAAACGATTTTTCATGGAAACAGAATGGTGATGGAAACAGCGAGCGAGTCCGTTTCAAACTAGTCGGCGAGACCTTGCCACAGCGGACTCGTTTCAATCACTTTTTACTCGTTCGATCCGCCCCACTCAGCACTTTCTGTGTGGAAACGCTACTATGTAATTTGTCACTGCGAGTTGAACGGAGTCCGTAATTATTCCGCTCCGCTCCCTAGAACTGAGCGAGTTCCTTTCAACTCTTTCTGCTCGCTCAGTCCTTTCCGCCCGACTATTTGTTGGTGGGAATACAAGTATGCAATTTACTCTTGCGAGTTAGACCGAGTCCTTAATGGGTCCGTTCCGCTCGCGGTGGAAACCCGGCTTTTAGGTTGGATCGCACCTAGTATTGTTCAAGCTAAAATATTAATTCAAAAACTATGGGTTGAAAGAGTTGATTGGGATGAGGATCTTAACATTTTTCTGAAAGAAGAATGATTGAAGATTCGCCGAGATCTTATGAATGTGTCTATCGATCGATATAAACCTTACTTTCAGCCCACAGGTCATAGGCCACCATTTCAACCAACTAGACCGATAAAGACCTAATTTCCAACAGAATAAATTCAAATTTGGAATCCCCGACCAAAACTTTCAACGATTTCAAAATGCACCAAATCAATTTAAATTTGGCATACAACCAACACAACAACCGTATAGGCTAAATAGTGTACTAAAAACTGATGTTTCTTTGAGGACAGCTCCTCCTCAAAGACCCACTAATATGAATCAACTATTTTATAATGAAATGCAGGACGATTATGTTAACTTCCCCGAATCAGAATACTATCCTGAAAACTACGACGATACCGTGTACCCTGAATATTACCCCGAGGTCGAACATGTACCCACAGAGGAAAGCTCTGATAATTCACAGGAAACTGAAACTGAATATTTTCAGACAGAAACCTCGTCTATAAATTGAGCTAAGAAGCAAAAACACCATTGTCCCAAACAAATCAAGTTCAAACGCGCCATTGTCCATTTTAGCCAATCACAGACCGCTAAAATCAGTATATTCAAGATGGCTGTTGCTGTGATTTCTTTGTGAATCTGCGTCTATTTTGCGTTTTAAAACTGAATATTGAAATAAAAATAATTAAACATGGAAGAAAATGTAGTGGAAGTGACTCCAGAACGCGCTAGGAAGAAGTTTTCTTCATTACCAGAGACGTGGAAACGAGCAAGGGCGAAGGTTGAAAGGTAAGCATTTTAAATCCTTATCCTATCCTAATCCAACGGCAACTTTACACATGATTGTACAATCAGCGCAAAAAGATGTTTCGATAAAATATTGACTAGATTTATTTTTTTAGTTGGTTGGTGTTTAGCTAATATGAGAAATCTTAGGTCTTGTATATTGTAAGCTTCGTGCGCGAGTCCGGCTCGAATTTGCTGTTTTTATATTTAAAAGTAAATAACTTTTTTTACTTAACCCCATCGTGAAGTGTTTTTAGTGAATAGGTATTAAGGTATCTTTGATAGAAGTTAAAGTTGAGAAAATGAGTGCAGTTAAGATTCATTTTTAAGTGTTTAGAATCACATTATTGCAGATCTGCCATTTTAAGAATCTATAAAATATATAATATATAATCGTATCTGCCATCTTTTCTTAACATACGGAAAATTTTAAGTATGTATAATGAGATCAATGAACTCCAAGTACGTGAATGTTACTTCAGATCAATTTTCAATAGGTTCTACAATCTTGGATTTGGAAGTCCCCGAACAGATACATGTTCTAAATGCAATGAGCTACTTGAACGCATAAAAAAATCAACAGATCCAAGTGAAAAAGTTAACTTAATGACTGAGAAAAGGGTTCACATGCTTAAGGCCAGAGCATTTTATCGACTACTAAAAGAAAAAAGAGATGATTTAGTTACGTTTTCTTTCGATTGCCAGAAAAATCAAGTATTACCTAAAATATCAGATCAAGTGGCGAATTACAGTCGCCAATTATTATACATTTATAATTTTGGAATAGTCAAGTCGGTGCCAGAAAATACCTTAAATAGGAACAATGTTACGCTGTATACCTAGACCGAAGATGAATAACGTAAAGGCGCAAATGAAATAGCGTCGGCAGTCGCCTCAAAATACAGTGTACAATTAAAATGTCAAAACAATTAGATTGGTGGCTGATGGATGTGAGGCACAGAACAAAAACAACATTATGATGGGCACCTCAGGCACCGCTCCATATTAAAACAGTCGAGCTAGTTTTCCCCATTCTCGATCATTCATTCATTCCACCAGATCGAGTTTTCGGTCTTGTTGAAAAAGAAATTAAACGTATGGAGACTATTTTAAAACCTGTGGAATATGTAAAAGGTGAGCCCAACGACTGCGCTGATATTGGGAGTTATAAGTCAGTTCTGAAGAGAGGAAAAACATTTATTGATTTAAACCCGGATTCCATAGAAAAAAACAAAGTTGTAGTAATGAAAGATAAAATCAAAGATGTTGACGCTCTACTAAAAAAACATTGTGGCGAGAATTGGAAGTCTAGGGATGATTTAGATTTTTACAAACAGGTGATCTTACGAGCAGAAAATGAGAGCAATGAAACTGAAGAGGGTGAAGAAGTCTGTGAAGTTGCAGTGCCTGAATCTGACTTACGAATTTAACTACAATAACTTAGTAAAACGTGATTTATCGAAGTAACGCATAAATATAAACATAATTTGTTACATTGCACTTTTTGTTAATTATAGTGACATTTTACTCTTATCACCTTTGATTTTTTTGTTGACTGTACATTACACCGGTTAATAACGTGCTTAGAAGCAAATATGCTAATGTCCTTTCCCTTAGACGCAGATTCACCTCTGTCCTATGTGAGATGCAAAGTCACCACTGTCATATTGGTTTATGGAGTTTTTATCGAATTATAAATAAAATAAAAAAATAAAAAATCCTTTTATTACCAGTATTTAAAGTTTACACGTCTTACAATTTATCTTAGTGTTAGTTCATGTAGTTTAATCTATTTAAGTATAATATCTCTTTCCTTTACTTAATTGTATGTGTACCTAAATTTCTATATATATATATTTTTTTATTATTTTTTTGAAGTGAAACTTCTTTATCGAGGTTGGAAAAAAAAATTAGTGTAAAATTTTTTTCGTTACGCGTCACATTTTTCGGTTACGCGCCATTTTGCTTTTTGAAGTCAAACTTCTTTATCGGCGTTGGAATGAAACTTCTTTATCGACGTATGGGAGAATTTTTGTAGCAAATCGTCACGTTTTTCAATGATAGTAATAATTCTATTACAATTAATGAAATTCTATAATAATATTCGTAGTAATAAGGTAAAATGAAATATTTGTATTCATGTCTATGATAATAAAAGCCTTTTGTTAAACTTAATCTAATTTAACGAATTTCTGTAAAGTTGCATATAGTAGTTCATTTTTCGAAAAATAAGATCATAAAGAAGTTTCACTTCTTACGTGTGTACACCTAGTACACGCACAATTTATTTTATTTAATCTACTGGAACCCCAAGTTGGGTGCAGGCCTCCTCCAGTGACGCCCATTTGTCTCCGTCTTCAGCTACTTTACTCCAATTTTGACCAGCTATATTTCTTATAGCCTCTTCAAACTCGAGCAAACGGTCATACGATGAGAGGGTTCGGACGTTGTATGTTGCAATCATTAGTTTGTTTTTATGTAAGGTTTTTCCTTGCTCTATTGGTGTGTTCATTGGAGGGTTTTGGTCATAATCTTCCACGGTGACCAACGGTCACGGTCTGTTTGGTAGTGTGCAACGCGATGTTTAGTTGTGTGGTGTTTTCAGGTGATGACCGGAATTTCTTTTACTTTGGTGCTTTGACACTATCAGTTTGTCGTATTTTAGTATAGCTATATTTCCCTTTTCCCTCTCTAATTTCAGTTGTCCCTGTAACTCCTTCCTTTTTTCAAGCTCATATTTAGGGAAGTCTTCTTTCATATAGTATTGCGTATCTTTCAGCGCTCCTTTTTGCTTAAATATTTAAATTTTTATTCCCAGTGTAGTAAAGGTTACTACAGTTGGACGTGATCTCTCTCCTTTCATTCCCAATCTTTTTATCCCCTGGGTGTCGTTGGAGCTCAGTTTTATAGAGAAATATTGCTGAATCCATTTGATTATGTTTTCTTCGAAATTTTTATAAGACGTTTCTTTTTCTTCAATACCAAAAAATACTATATTTCTTATTCTTGCTTGTTTTTCCAAATAATAAATTCCTTTTTTCTTGATTTTCCACTCTTTCTTTCAATTTTCCAATTTTTTCTTCCAAAATCAAAATTTTTTCCTCAAAATTGCTAGTAATGTTTTGTGTAACTTTTTCCATGACGCTTTTATCGGTTTCTCTAATTGCAATTCTTTTTTCGTCTAATTCCTTTTTTATTGATTTTAATGTACCTAAAACTTCTTCCATCATTTTGGTTTGTTATGGTTAAAGTAATGTCCTCTAGCGGTGCGTATGTGAATTATTTACCGATCGACGTCGTAGTATTGATCGTCTCCAAATGGTTCGCTGTTGTTCTAACAGATGGCGTTGTGTGTGATATGGAACGCTGGAACTATTGAAGATGATTTGCAAAAAAAACAATCTTTTAGGTTATGATATTTAGCATTTGTTTTATTTATATTTCTTCATCTGATTCACTTTTCACTATTTCGCACACACTATTCTTGCTTTAGGTTAACGCAAAAAGAAGACAAATGATATCAGTAGGAATTGGATATCATCAACTTGTAGGTGGGTTTCAAAAAACATTTGATTTGAGTTTTTACGATTTTAGTACTGATTTTTCTACAGTTTTTTCTCTTCACCAGCTTACTTAGCACTATATGTCAATACACAGTTTTATAGTTTCCCTTTCACTTTTTCTATTTTATTTTTTTATTATATATCGGAGTTGATGCTTATCGTGCTACGGTGGCGCCCTCAATCCTTATATCGAATTATATATATGTAATAATAATTATATATATAAGGAAAACATAATATTTAATATTTTCCTATACAAACTCTTTTTATATTTTATTTTTCTTCTTTGCCGTCTGATCGACGATGTTTTATTTGTCACTTGACATAATAGATGTAAGATGTTTTAATTTTTTTCATTACATTATTTTATTTTATAAAACCTAAAATAGAGGCTTTAAATGTTGTTTCTTTTGTATTCACAGAGAAACGCAGTTGCGCCTTATTTATCCCCAGTACTCGTATAAGCGATCGATACCATTATATATATATAATATAATATATATATATATATATATATATATATATATATATATATATATATATATATATATATATTTAATAAATATATATTGTTAGCGGACTAACGCCATTTTGTAGCAGAAACCTATATAAAGCGTGGCAACACCGGCGTTGACTCACTTTTATTTCGAGACTTCGTGCGGAACGGACTTGTTACTAACCTAACCTCAGTAGATTTTAAAAGTCTGAAGTACCTACACGTTCTAATCTTTTGTGTTTCGTTCTAATCAGAATTGGGATTTGAACTTTTCGCTCACTTCTCTTTTGTTTTGTTTTGAGTAATCTTTGTGGTTTAAATTTTCCTTCTCTTTGTGTCCATAATGTACGAAGTCACAAGTGATTAACATTTTAAAAGTGCTCTTTGTGTTAAAATCTTGTTTGTGTTTGTGAGTGCAACAGTGTCGCATTAAATTCGGGATCGTCTTGTCAGCAAGGTAGACGAGAGATGCTTTGACAGAGGACGGCCGAACGGTTGAAGAACAGTCAAATCAATCAGGACACTGTCGTTAATGTGGGTCGTAGACCCCCCCTTGTAAATTCCAGAAGGATGATCTGGTCTTTGTTATTAAGAACATGCAAAGGTATGGGTTTCTGTTTTAAATTTTTGTGGTGCTAATGTGTTTAGACCACTTAGAGAACATGCAAAATGTATGAGTCTCTGTTTTAAAAAATTGTCGCTTATGAGAGCACTAGGAGCCACAGTCGATACGACGGTGTATTGCTAATATACTGAGTTTTATCTTTATTTGTGTTAAGTCTGAAGCTATCTAATTCTGTAATATTTGCTTTTTGAAAGATCAATGGACAGGGTAACCAGTCCCAAACTCACGATCTTCCTGTATAAATTGTAAAAAGATCAATGGACAGGGTAACCAGCCCCAAACTCACGATCTTCCTGTATAAATGGTAACAAGATCAATGGACAGGGTAACCAGCCCAAACTCACGATCTTCCTGTATTAATGGTAAAAATATCAATGGACAGGGTAAATAGCCCCAAACTCATGATCTTCCTGTATAAATGGTAACAAGATCAATGAACAGGGTAACCAGCCCCAAACTCACGATCTTCCTGTATTAATGATAAAAAGATCAATGGACAGGGTAACTAGCCCCAAACTCATGATCTTCCTGTATGAATGGTAAAAACATCAATGGACAGGGTAACTAGCCCCAAACTCATGATCTTCCTGTATAAATGGTAACAAGATCAATGGACAGGGTAACCAGCCCCAAACTCACGATCTTCCTGTATTAATGATAAAAAGATCAATGGACAGGGTAACTAGCCCCAAACTCACGATCTTCCTTTATGAATGGTAAAAAGATCAATGGACAGGGTAACCAGCCCCAAACTCACGATCTTCTTGAGAAATAAATAGACCTTTATACCTTATATCTACTCTATATGGTGATACTAAGCTCTACTAATACTACGTATAGCTCTCCATAAAAAGAAATTTAACGCGGCTACCCGAACCCTTAAACGAGAAATTTTTAAAGCAAAATCGGAACATATTGGCAGAATTGGTGAAAAGCTCGCGAAATTGCCCTCTGGAGCTCGAGCCTTTTGGTCATTGGCGAAGGCAACTCAGGGAAACTTTTGTCAGCCCTCTTTACCATCCTTGCGAAAGGAGAATGACTCGATGGCTCACTCGGCGAAAGAGAAAGCAGAGCTCCTTTGCTCTCTCTTTGCGTCTAACTCCACGCTCAATGACTCAGGGACCTTACCGCCTAATATTCCGCATTGCGGGTTTTCTATGCCTGAAGTTCGATTCGAACAGATTGTTGTGCGGAGGGCCTTAATCTCCCTTGATACCCACAAGTCAAGTGGTCCTGACGGCCTTCCCTCGATCGTTCTTAAGACTTGTGCTTCTGAGCTGACTCCGGTTCTTACACGGCTCTTTCGACTCTCGTACTCCTCGGGCGTAGTTCCAAGCTCATGGAAGACTGCGCATGTTCATCCCATTCCCAAAAAAGGTGACCGCTCTGAACCATCCAGCTACAGACCTATCGCAATCACTTCTTTATTTTCAAAGGTAATGGAGTCTTTCATCAATAGGCAGCTCTTGCGATATCTGGAGGAGCACCAGCTAATTAGTGATCGTCAGTATGGCTTTCGCCGTGGCCGCTCGGCTGGTGATCTTCTTGCCTATCTAACTCATAGATGGGCCGAAGCTGTGGAAAGTAAGGGAGAGGCATTGGCCGCTAGCTTGGATATAGCTAAGGCCTTTGATAGGGTTTGGCATGGGGCGCTTCTTTCGAAACTACCGTCATACGGTTTGCCCGATGGCTTATGCCGATGGCTGGCAAATTTTCTTGTAGGACGTAGCATTAAAGTCCTAGTTG